ATTACGTTAATTTTTAGTGAAATTATCTATTTTGTAATTAATATTATAGGATTATTTAGAATGATCTAAATAAATATATTTTTTGACTTTTTATGAAAATATATGTAAAAAAGTAAATAGGTGATATAACTCAAATAAGTGCATTTATCTAAATAAGTGTACTTATGTCTATCATATCAAACATCGGTACATACCATAACACTTTTCATCTAAGGTCTCTGTAGACACCCCATTTTTAACCGTCCTCAAGACTTGGACGTCACCATTGGAATACTTGGTGATTATCCCTGTTTGTGTTCGTTTGGAGTTCCCGGAGGTCTCGGCTACGCGCCTTGCCTCAGGATCTCCGAACTTGACTGTTTTGTGTCTGGTTTTGGCAACCTTGTCGGGAGTATCGATGACTGCTCGCGAGCTAGTTAAACGGTCCACCATAGTGGCTCTCTTTGCGCACGCTGTGGGACGAGACAGCGGGCAGGCGCATTCGCTTTTGTGAGGCATCCCCCAACAACCGGCAAGTGGCTAGAGGTCACCGTGCGCGTGTGGCGATACTATACACGGAGTGTGTAGGTGCATATGACGGAGAGTCCTTTTTGTTGATTTATTGTATGTTTTATATTTTTTTCTTGCGCTTGGTCCATTTCACAAGACCAAGGGAACATATCATCATTGAGGTGCTAATGTGAAAAGCGTCATGACGGTTCAGTTGCATGGAGGTACTATCCAAAATGTAGATGAGTTAGTTCTATCAGTCAGATAAGGCTATTGTGAGATATGGAGTAGACAGGTTGATGATGCCACGAGGGTGCTGAATGTTATAATATGTTGTTGCTGGTGCTGTAGAGTAAGGGGCAAGAAGCAGTGACATGAGTGAGCGGTTCTGGCGTTCCGAAGGTTCCCTCTTTTTGCCAAAAATGGCATCTTGGCCTGCCGACTACTGTGCATCTGTTTTTGGCAGATATTTTATCAACAGCTGTCTTGCTTTGGCTCCCCTCCATACACGTGTATGCGAGAGATCTCTCTCTTTAGGGCTGTCTTTAATAAGCTTACAAGACAAAAGGCTCTAATAAAGAGAGCCTTCTCTCTTGGCTTTAGGGTTAGACACTTGAGACACTTTAGATATTTTTAGACAGCCATTTTTAGGGTTTTGAGTTCTAGGGTTAGAACCATAGCACTTTCTTATCTCTTATATCTCCCTCTTGTGTGTGTTAAATTGTGTTTGTGATCTTTAACTATTGCACACAAACACACTAGTGTTCTATACCTTCACCTTGAGCTACTGAGGTTCTAAGAGGTTGATTTTGAAGTTTTGAGCTGGTTTTCAAGCCCAAGGAGGGCTGTTGGAGCAACCATTGGTTTGAAGGGGTCTTCAAAGGGTAACATTTTGCCTCTTTATTCCCAATCTTGCATTGTATTCTAGCTTGTTTAAAATCGTTTTTGAAGCTTGGTGTATAATAAAAAAGTTCTGTTTTTTTAACCCTCTTGACTGTTTATTAAGAGTTTTTTTGGTGGTTTGGAAGGTGTTTGACCCCCTCTTAGGGCCTTTGAAAGGCCCCATTTTTGTGGCTATTTTGAGCAAGCTTCGAGACTTTGGTGTTTGGGCCTCTTCACCACTGAAATCTTGAGGGATTTCAAGTGGTGGAAGATGGTGCCTTGAAGTCTCCAAAAGGGGAGGGCACCCCCTCTCCTTGTTGTCGCTTGAAAGGGACCATTTTTGGCCTTTTAAGAGAGCATCATGTTAGAATGTGTATTGATCATGTCTTGGTTGTTTTCCATGCTTATTATGCCATGATAGTAACCTTGTGTTGTGTTGGTTTTGGTACACCTGCATGTCTTAGCATACCTATGCATAGTATGCCATGTTATTGCTTAAAATATGCCTTAGGTTGTTAGCCTTTGTTCTAGCAATGTTTTAGGCTTAACCTTGGTGAAGGTTTTTGCTGCTCATTTTGCCATGTTTATAGGTCTGTCCTGGTTGTTTGGGTCGGATTGGCCATGCTTAGTATAACTCCTTTTGCATTCCGGGCTTGTTGGCCTTAATGTATAACGAATAGCATGACATTCTTGCATTGATTTTAGTGGTTTTGGGAACTAATCCACCTGTCATTTTTCAGTCCCCATTTGCATGCCTATATGTTTGCCTTGGAATGTCTCCTTAATGCTTTGAAAGCTTGTGTGCATGTGTCCATGTTTTGGCATTAACATGCCTTTGATTTGAGCCACTTAGATGCCATTTAAGGGGGTCCCCTTTGCATGTGCTAGCTGCCTTTGAAACTATTTTAAAGCCCTCTTAAGCCTTGTTGAGGCTTGGTTGGCTTGTTCATGATGGTTCAAGCCCCTTGACTTGCTTCAAGCACTTTGGGTCATTTGTTGCATGTTTTTGCTTGATTGTTTGCTTGGTTTGGCACCATGTTTTAACATGATTGTCAGAGCTATAATGTTGCATGCCATATGTCCATGATTACCTTCTTTCAAATGTGTTTTTGAGAGTTGTCCCATTTGTGCTAAGTTTTGGCTCCTTTAACTGTGATTGTGTGTATGTGTTTAGTCCTTTATTTGGTCACGTTTGGCCACTATTTTAAGCCTAATTTAGAGTTGTCCTAAATTCATGTAGTAGCAGTCCACCTTTCATCAATTTGCAATGCTCATGTTTGCGTTACTAGCTGCATAAAATGTCTTACCATGCCATTTGCCTCCTTAGCTCGCATGCCTAGGTTGCATTGCATCTATGCAATGCCATGCCTTATTCCTTGACTGGTGAAGGAAATTTGGCCTGAGGTCTTGCTTGTTTGGTTTGCATTCATTTGGACATGAAAGTTTGCACACTTGGATTCTTTGGGCGCGTCCTGCATGGAATGCGTGATTGTGCGGTCCGTCAGAATCAGGACACTGCCTTTTGAGTCACAAACATGATAGAGGGCATAAATTGGTGCTATACATTGTTTGAATTGTATTGGCCATGCAAGTTTCTGTCCTCTGCTTGCCTGTGAGTTGCAAGTTCTGCAGGCATTGTTTGCCGACCGGCAGTATACATTGCCGCCGGCAATAAATTACACCAGCGATGGCATAAATTTTGTGCCGATGACCACAATTCACCTGCCGTGGGTAACTCTACTCAGCCGGTGGTGATTCCCCAGCATCCAGGAGAAGCATCCTGTGAGACTTTGGCAGTCTCAGAAAGGTAGAGCAGGGGAAACAGAGGCAGATATGCATGCGGTGCACTTCCGAGCAAGACCCGAGCACGCGCGTGGCAATCTGACTCTCCTCCCGAGGCGGTTTACTGTTTTTCCTAGTTTAAATTAGTTTGTTAACTGATTAGGCAATTTGTAATATTTAATTAGCTTGCGTAGTTAATTAATTTGTATTATTTATTTGGTCCCTCCGGGCGAGGGCAAATCTGTAATAAGTGTGTGTGAGTGGTGTGTATGTCTTCCAATCCCCACTTCTTTCTTCCCTTTTATTTACCTGCTTTGATGGTTAGTATTAGGGCACGTTTAAATTAGCATACCTTATGCAATGCATGCGTGCATTCATACATTTGCTTTGCATGCACCGGGCTCGGCGCATCACGCTAACTGCATTTGTACTTCAATTTCAAATTGAATACGTGCATCAATTGACTGCATTTCACATGTCATTTATAGACTAGCCGAGCCTACTCTAGTGACATTTTATATGCGATGCATTAGGCACTTAACATGGACTTGGATCATGCATTGATTGCTAACATGTTCCTGTTTTTGGCACGGAGTACGATGTAAGTATTTATGCTTTAGCATCTCGCATGCGTATGAATGTTGCCATGACAGTATGTCTGCCATGCGGCTAGATGCTTATTTGTTATAAACTGTTTGAATGCCTGTGGGTGAAGGTTGGATTGTTTGAGTTGGAAAAACTCGTTGAAATTCGTATTTTAGCCTGCTTGCGAGTAGCAAATTCCAAAGCATTTTTCAAAACAAACGGATATGCAATGCTTGTTTCCAAATTAGGCAATCTAGTCTATACTTGTTTGCTGCACGCATAACATAATAACGCTAGGCTAATAATTGGTTTAAGAACACATAACGTTTTCAAAATCGGATATCATGGTTAGTAGAGGCCGGTCTTCGGACCGGGCGAGAGAGGGTGCTCATAGCTGACCTTCCCCGATCGTACCCTAGCTCCCGAACCGAGACAACTCCGGTGATGACGGACACATGGCCTTTGGCACCGAGTCAGGGTTTCCTAAATTTCCCCATTTTAAAATATTTAGGTGGCGACTCTATATCTGGCAAAACAGTCAATGTTTGGCACTTCTTTCCTAAAATCTGTTTTCTCAAAACGATTTGCCAGATTTGGACTATTTGGTTCAAGATTAAGAACCGTGACACAAATCGAGTCCGAACTGTAGTAGCAGGCCCCCCATGTGGGCACGTCTACAGCCTCGTTTGCGAATATGTTTTTTTAGTAACTTTTTGATTAAAATATGATATAAAAAAAAAACTAGTATGTTTGGAATAACTTTTTAAATTTTTACGAAAAGATATGCAAAAAATAAAAAGAAAATGAAATCTTTAACTTTTTGGTATAGATTGTTAGCTTTTTAATTTTTTTAAGTGACTTTTTGACTTTTTGGTTGAAAACGCCACTTGTCAAACGAGACCTAGTAATATTATAAATCCAAACTTAACCACTTAAAAATTATCTAAAATTATCATCTTATGATTCAAATTTATTTTATACATAAATTTCACACCACACAAATTTAGAAGTGATTTGAAATGTTCTAAATAAATGTATTTTTTTACTTTTTATAAAAAAAAATATACAAAAAAATAAAAAAATAAAGAAAATATATTGATAAATATTAATAATATTAATTGATATAACTCAAATAAATATATATATATATAAACAAAAAAATATTTTTTTAATACATGTAAAACAAAACCTTATTCCCAATCACACAATGAATGCGGAATAGTTAGGGGGGCTTCATAGCATTTTTGTTATCATCTATTTAATAGATTTAATCTGTCAAATCAAAATTTCAACCTCTTTTCTCTTCGGTAGGTGGGTGGGACTGCTTTTCTATCCTACTTTCCTCTTCCTTGATATCCTTTTCTCTCTAAAAATTCTCTCTCTCTCTCTCTCTCGATCACCATCAGCAATGTCTTTCAGAGGGGTAAGTTCACAATCTCATCTCTCGGTTGATCAATCCGAATTCTATTGTCTAGATCCGAATTTGTTTAGTCAATGCATGCTTAGATTCTGTATACGATGTTGATTTTTTTATTTTTTTGGGGGTGTGAAATTAGCTTAGATCTTCGTTACTGGTTTGTGCTATTTGAGTTTCAAAAGAGTGTGTTTGTGTGTGATGAGCTTTGATTAGGCTCTGCATGGTAGTTCTTCTTTGCAAGTGGAGGTGAAATTTGATGTGTCCGGTTTGTATTGTGAGCTTTGGGTTTTGATGTAAATTGTTCTTCATCTTTATTTTTTGGCTTCTGCCGTAGTGTGATGTTGTAATTTTTCGTGTTCTATCCTTTTCATAGGTTATAATTTTACTGGGTCGAACAATTGCGTGGAAATTGCAAATCAGTGGTAAGACCAAAGAATAAATTGCAAAATCATGGAAAAGTTTATCACTTCAATTATAAAGTTGGTAAGCTTTACCATTGATTTGCAATTTTTTTGGAAACTTACACTGAATTGCAATGTACCCAACAATTGTTAGGATCTGTTTGGTTGTGTTTTTTTCTTTTTTTTTTTTTTTTTTTCAGATACTAAAATATGGCAAATTTCATTTTGCACCCTGTATTTTATGCCCAATCCCACTTTGCCCTTGACCTTTCAATTAGTCATCCCCTAGACTTCGGGTAAAGTGGCAATTAGATCTTATGACATTGTTTTGAAAACCTACCCCTAGACTTCGAGTCTAGTGGCCATTAGGCCCAATCTTATAACCTTGTTTTGAAAAGACTTCGAGTCTAGTGGCAATTGGGCCCAATCTTTTTAACATTGTTTCGAAAACTGATGAACAAATCAAAGTGGGATTTTGGTAAAAATACATGGTACTACTTAAAAAATACTGATCATTATCATTTCACTTTTGTTCGAATACAGCTTTTTGGCGTTTCCTACAATGTGGGTTGTGTTTTTTAAAATTTTCCTGGGTGTTTTATTGATATTTTAGGATTTTTTGTTATATAAAAATTATCAACTAAATTTCTTTTGGAAAATTGTTTTTCTTGAGAATTCATTAGAGGACTTGTGCTGGGGCTTAAAGGTATAATGTAGAGGACAATGACAACAATATCTTGTAAATAGGAAGGATGCCACTTCATTGCGTAATGAAATTCCATGGAGAATCTCCATTGAATTATCCTTTCATCCTTTTGGTGCTTTGAGAGATTGATGGAAGGAAAGGAATATGCTCAAAGGCTTCCCTAACTGTTAAGCATCCTACTTTAAATATTCAAATTACTTTTGATGAGAATCAAAAAATGGTACCAAAAGAAGTTTAGAAAAGCATTTTTATTTTATTTTATTTTATTGTGTCATTTTAGTTTTCAAGGACCATAAAGTGTATTGGTAAATTTCTTATTGTTGTATGATGAATGCTGCAGAATAGGGAAAGCACAGAGCATTGTACTATTCAACTTTATCATCGATTTATAGCTATATGTGATTTTAACATGGAGCTGCTGAAATTGTGGCTTTAGCATGTTTCAGACATATTATACACAGTATGCAGGTATATGTATGTACAATCTTCATTAGAGCAAGCATTTGAACATTTTGTTTGATTTCAGGCGAATGCATCATCTGGCATGGGTGTCGCTGATCACAGCAAGAGCACATATCTGGAACTGCAGAGGAAAAAGGTATACCGTTACGTGATCTTTAAGATTGATGAGAAGAAAAAAGAGGTTGTGGTTGAAAAGACTGGAGGTCCAGCTGAGAGTTATGACGATTTTACTGCATCTCTGCCTGAGAATGATTGCCGATATGCAGTCTATGACTACGATTTTGTGACTTCTGAGAACTGCCAAAAGAGCAAGATCTTTTTCATTGCATGGTCAGTTTTTGTTTCAAATGCTTGAATCGCATTGTATGATTGTTATTATGTTATATGTGATTTTATGATGTGTAGTTGAGATTGTTTTTTCATATCAATCATCTTTATGGCAATCGGTCATCAGATATCTTCTGCTCCTCATGCTTTGGAAATAGTTTCATAGCCGTAGTGTGATTGCACTCGACCACCAAGTATGGTGGTACGTCTTGGTATCACACTCGAAGCCCTGATTGAAAGTCAAAACACATAGTGAATGAGTCAAAGCATGAGGAACCCCCAAGTAAGGCCAAGGGGACTACTAGGCCATGCCCACTCGATAGTGCCATGGGTCGGTATCTCGGTCAACATGAGCTCTCACCAAGCCATGGCTCCTCATGCTCCATTGCCATCTAAGAAGCACATATACTTCTAAGAGGGTAACATGTCATGTCCAACAGTGTCTGATACCGACATGACACAAACACTCATCTAAGACTTCCCAACACTTGACACAAATAATACACATTACTATTTTGAATAAAATAAGTAGATAAAACAAAAACAAAAACAATGTAAACTTATAACTATTCTCCTCTTTTAGACTTCAAAAATTATCATCTTAGACTTAAATATTCATATATATGACATATAATAAATATGTAAAATTATATATTTCGCATGTATCCTATATTTTTTTGAAAATTTTTGTATTGGTGTCGTGTTCGTGTCATGTCACATGTCCATGTCCATGTCCATGTCCATGTCCATGTCCATGTCCATCCTTCTTGGATTGTCATAGAGCATACAAGGAGTGGCCAAGGGTATCACTCTGTCGAGCCAGGGTACCTTTTCTCGGCCACTTCCACTTGCAAGCAGCATGTCTAACTCTTGGCTCAACATGTCTCCTTTGTGTCTTTCACCCACAAATTGGAAATTTATGTACTATCGTTATCTCTATTGCCATCACGTTGATATTTTAGGCTGGGAGTTGGGTCTAGGTATCCACCACTCAAGATTGCTGGAGATTGTTCCTTGGAAGCTATAGGAGATTGTTCCTTGGAAGTTATAGGACCAAGGGTTCATCAAGATTGCTAGGCTCAATACCCCTATGGAGAAGCCTTCTTTCACCAACAGAGAAGGGGCATTAGTCCAACACCTGACACTTTGAAAGAAGCATCATACCTACCACTTATGTCATGCTATGATACACCCTTCGAGGTATCGCACCAAACTATGCAACTCTCATGATTCGGCCTTCGAGCTCTGAATCTTGGGACACAGTTAGATCGGATACCTCCACTTTCTCTAACCAAGAGGAGATGACCACCTATCCATGGGTGAGCTGGCCTCCAATGTTATTAGAATCTGTATAAAGGGATATTTATGCACGTAGATGAAGCATACAACTATTATCTTCTTCCTTTACACTGGTGACAAAGGTCTTTATTGCTGCCCTGCCACTCTCTCTCCCTCTTATGTTGTGTTTGGATCATGGATTTGGGTATGGATTTGGAAAAGGAAAAGAAAAGACACGGTAAATGGAGAAAAAATTTAGCTTTATATTTCATACACATTTCTCTCACATTTTCCATTCCTTTTCCAAATCCTTACTCAAATTCATGATCCAAACACAACCTTAAAGTTGCCTTGGTTCTCTTCTCCTCTGCCTCCAGCGACTCCTGGACATGGAAGTGTCCACATCTTTCTAGAGGTTCCCGACTGACCACCTCACTCCCAACTATCTACAAGGCATTCACTTGTCAAGCTTATTGAGTAATTTGATATTATACATAAAATGCTCTTTGGCACCTTAGAAAATGAGCAAGAAATATTAAGAAATATAAGTATGTTGTGTTTTCATGTACTTCAACATGGCATTTAGATGAATTGAACAATCGGACATGTATCTACACCCGTAGCTGAGTCCATGTAACATAGCTTCTACACATAGCTCCCCATTTGGTGCTTTTTGTTGACATGACATTGCCAGTAGATACCACTTTTCTCATTATAAGCTCGTATGATTTTAGTAAACAAATTTTTATAGTATTGACGTTGCCTTAATGATGCAAAGAATTAGATGACAACAGCTACATGTTGGTAGTGGGTTTAGCACGAGCACTATCGCTCACCACTTGCATAATGCTTGCTGCAGCTTGCCAGTCACCTAGGGGCAGTTAGGATTTGGGATTCACTATGTATGCTTTTGGTGCTTTGGCAGTTATGACTCTTTAAGTTATGGTGTATTGTTGCTTTACTTCCAAACCCACTTCCTTATAATTGCACAAGAGATGCATGTGTGCTTGTTTATGTGCCTCATTTATTGAGATTATTGCTCTTTGCCCATGAATCATTATGTGATTGATTGAATGTGTCATCATTCATCACCAAAATGTGGCAGTTTAGTTTATTTCCAGTTGGGCTTCAACTTATTGTTCCTGTTCCAGTTCCAGTGGTGGAATGGTCTTGAATGTTGGTTAGTCTTTTCATGTTTTTCTTAGTTAAAAGTCTTATCTTCCTATGACACTATTTTGGGTGTTTTCTCTTGGCATCTCCAATTTGATTACTCAATGATACTAGTGTAATGTTAAGTTGTTAACGCATCTTTTTCAGGTCGCCTGCTGTGTCTCGGATCCGTGCCAAGATGCTGTATGCGACATCCAAGGACAGGTTCAGAAGGGAGCTGGAGGGCATCCATTACGAGATTCAGGCCACTGACCCAACGGAGATGGATCTTGAAGTGATTCAAGACCGCGCTAACTAGACCCTTCCTACTGTATAGAGGGGGCTTCGCATCGTAAGCAAAACTGCTTTCATTTCTATGCAACTTATTAGTTACTGTTCATGAGCAATGCCTGTCTCTGACACAAAAATACATATATAGCTTAATCTATAAATAATAACGCCTGGGAACGCTGATCTTGGAGCTCTCGGCTTAATAAACCATAAGTTCTGTGGGAGTCTTGGGTTCCTTATTGTCATGATGCTTCCCAGATGGAAAATGGGCCTGGTTATGTATACAGATGATTTAACTGCTAATTATATATTCTATAATGGGGTGTTTTCAGCATGATTTCGCTCTGTGTTATGCAGTATGGGCTTGTCAAACTTGTTATCTGCTCTGTTCTCATAATTTGTAGTTTTACAGTTTCATTTTTGTGACATGAATCGGCTAGGTTATTGAAGATGATTGAATTTTGAAACACTGGCTTAAGAGTGATGTCTCTAATGACCAAGTTTTTGTTTCAAAATTGCTTACTATTTGATGTGTCGTCATTTTTCTGCTTTGCATTGTACCGAGGCATAAATGACATGTGACGTGTCATATCATATGATTAACAAAATTGTTACAAATAAAATTTATTATCGTAGCATTGAATTGGATGTTTAAGTTAAAGTTTGAGGTTCAAGTTCTCTTTGTTTAGTTTTCTATGAAATAAATATTAATGAGAATAAGAATTAAGTAACCTAGATGTAAATGGGCCGAATGGAAAGAACCCAAAATAGAGTAAAATTGGAATATGTTTGGTGTTTTTTCATAATCACATCTTAATACAAGAGAATTTGAGGACATGTAGAGTTCATTACGGGTTTTCATTTTAATAATTTGAATCATTCATTTTGTAGAACCGTCAATATATATTATTTAATAAAAAAAATTAGTTTGATATGATAATTATATATATATATTTTATTTTATCATATTTAACTCTAAAAAACAGACAATAAATACATTTTTAAAAGTAGATCATTTATTTTTTAAAGATAAATATGATAAATAAAAATATTCCAATAATATGATAAATACAAAATATTACGATTATTGGATCGAATTAATTTTTTTATAAATAATATATATTGAGGTTTAACAAAATAAATTGTTCGAATTATCAAAATGAAACTTGTAATGAGTTTCTTGGGTTCTTAAATTCTCTCTTATTGAGAGGTTAACCTAAGAGAAGTCCAACCATAGAGGTTGTCACATCAAAAAAAAAAAAGTTAATTAATTACTTAATTAAATTAAAAAAATAGTAAGAATCCAGGTTGCTAAGTTGGACGTTATGTACCCAAAAATAAATGCACATGGACTCTTGACTAGGATTGGAAGATAGTGTCAATTTTTATTTTATTTTTTTTATTTTTTTGAACGAAAAGAGTTATACCACAAGAAATTACAAGGAAACAGGAAAAGCATCATGCCTTACAATTTCACCAAGAGCCAATGGAGGATGGGAAACCCAACCGACTAGTGGTTCATTATAGGCACAAGCTTGTGCCACCCAATGGGCAGCCCTATTGTTGGTTCTGTTTGTCCATTTCAGCTGAAAATTGCCTTGTCTTGCAATATGACGAATATGAAGAAAGATGGCCAAAGTTTCCCAAGGAGGAACCTGTTCTGAGACACCCAGTTTAATAACCTCTTGATTGTCACTCTCAATGATGATGTTTTGTTGTAGGATATCCAGTATGAAGAGGACACACAACGACTTTGGGAGTCTGTCTTTCCAGACTATATACGAATGTTACGAGATGTAGCCTTAGGATTCGAAGCTAATTTTTCATCCAAGTTGGTTCCGGAGATGAAGGTTTTAAAGGATATGTGGCTTCTAGACCCATAGGAGGAAAAAATTTGAGTCTAATAGAAATATTTTTGGATCGTATTCGGATAAAATGGTGTTGAATAGATGCTTTGGCTTGTCTGTCAAGCCATGAGGTTTTAAACTAATACATTCTCTAAGAAGTTATCCTAACAATTGCATTGCACATTAGCATTGAATGTATGTATGCTTTAATAGGGTTTAGGTATGAATTTACTAATGGTTTAGGAAAGAGTTTCTTCTTCCTAGATAATATTTACTCACTCTACTTTTTGATTTGTTTTACTAGTTAAGCTATTATTAGTTATATACCTTAAGCCGATCTTTGTTTTGGTGTATTGAATTAAATGAGATTAGTATAAGACCAACAACAGTTAATCTTGTGATTATTAATCTCTTTGAATTGTGTCTTATTTCATATTTGGGCTAACTCAAGTTGGGATTGTGATGAACAATTTGATAAAATCTTATTAATTTTGTAATTTAACTTGTTAGTCTGAATCTCTCTTTAGTTCCCTCTATTTTGTATCTTATCATCTTTTTGAGATTCCCTTTGGCACCGAGTCAGGGTTTCCTAAATTCCCCAAAATAAAATATTTAGGTGGCGACTCTGTATCTGGCAAAGCAGTCTATGTTTGGTACTTCTTTTTTTGAAAATCTGTTTTCTCAAAATGATTTGCCGGATTTGGACTCTTTGGTTCAGATTAAGAACCGTGACACAAATTGAGTTCGAACTGTAGTGAGGCCCACGCGGGCGCGTCTACACCCATGACCCTCTATCTCTCTGAGACGCATTCATGAAGTTAGAGTGAGGAAAATACAGTCCCTTTAGCAAACGGGCCCAAAACGAGTGAGGGTTTGTGATGTACCGCCAACCTTGCTTGGCAAACATGGCCTGATTGAAAGCAGAAAAATCTCTAAACCCCATTCCCCCGTGTAGCTTTGAAGAACACATGGTTTCCCATTTTGTCCAAGGAATGCCCTTGTTCGTTGGATCACCTTTCCACCAAAAGTTGCGAATAGCCAAGTTAAGTTTGTTACAGAAAGATTTCGGGAAAGAGAAGTAGGCCATTGCATATGATGGAATAGCTTGAACCACGGCCTTAATCAGAACCTCTCTTCCAGCATGAGATAGTAGCTTATTCTTCCACCCTTGCATTTTAGCAACCATTCTATCCACTACAAAACTATACGCCTCGGACTCTGATCGACCCCACGAAGACGGAAGCCTCAAATATTTCACATGTGGTCTTGTTGGGGGGATTCCCAAGACTCCACAGATCAACCCTTTGAGCTCAATGGAAGCATTTGCCGAAAAGAAAACCTCAGACTTCTCCAAAATTTATTATTTGCCCCGAAGCATGGCTGTAGACTTGAAGAAGTTGCATCATTTTCAAACACTCCGATCTACTAGCCTTGAGGAAGAGTAGGACATCATCTGCGAAAAACAAGTGGGACAAAATGGGGCAAGTGGTTTTCATCCGTAAACCGGAGATCTCTTGATTCCGAATGCTGTTATCAATTAATCGAGATAAAACCTCGGCCACCAAAAGGAACAGATATGGGGATAGGGGGTCCCCCTGCCGAAGTCCACATGAAGGATTGAAGGAAGCTCTATTCTCACCATTAGCAAAAATGGAAAAAGAAATCGATGAAACACACTGCATCACCCATCACACCCAAGTATCGTGAAACCCCATCTTAATCAAAACAGCCTGTAGAAAGTCCCACTGAATGCGGTCATAGGCCTTGTTGAAGTCCAGTTTCAGCGCTAAGTTAACTCGGTTCCCCCTCTTGGTTTGTTTCAAATAGTGAAAACCCTCATGTGCCACCAAAATACAATCTTGAATGAGCCTGCCCGGGATGAAAGCCGCCTGATTTAGGAATGGCAACGGGGCGGGGCGGGGCCGGGGATCACCCTCCCCGTCCCCGATCCCCGATGGCAGAACTTCCCCCCGTCCCCGTCCCCGTCCCCATCCCCGATGGGGAACCAACTACCGCCCCCTAACGGGGATCGGGTTTCCCCGACCCCAAAAATCCCCGGCTAAAAATACAACATCAACATCAAAAGAAAAAAAAACAAAAAATCAACATCTCAACAACATAAAAAAAGCAGCATCAAGAACAGATCTTCATCACCATTAAGAACATCAAAAAAAAAAAAAAAATCAAAACAACAAATCTTCATCACCAACAGATCTGAAAGCAACATCTTCATCACCAACAGATCGGAAAGCAACATCTTTATCACCAACAGATCTGAAACCAACGGATCCGTGTGAGAGAGAGAGAGAGAGAGAGAGAGAGAGAGAGAGAGATATACCGTGTGGAAAGAAGAAGGCGGCGGTGAGGGAGCTGCCGGTGAGACGAGAGGAGCCAGCAGTGGTAGCTTCAGATCGATCGAACCACGGTCTGTCCATCTTCAAACTTGTCCTGTGTACGGGGCTGTGACACGGTGAGATGAGAGACGTGAGTGAGGGAGAGAGAGACGAAAGAGATGAGAGGCGTGAGAACAGAAGCAGTGAGGGAGAGAGATATGGGAGAAGCAGTGAGATGAGAGAGATGAGAGACGTGAGTGAGGAAGAGAGAGACAAAAGACATGAATGAGAGAGAGAGAGTAGATGAACCAAAGATAAAGTATATATATATATATATATACCTATATATATAACACCTCCTTTTTTTTTTAACAAATACAAATATAAATATATAAATATTTGGATTAAATATATATAATTAAATAACAAATTAAATTAATTAATCACCAC